TCAAGGCTGACATCGCTCCTTCTGGAAACAATAAGCCCTAGAAAGAATAGGCAGTGGGAGGCTTTAGAAAAATACAAAAATAAAAGACCTTCAAGAGACGACTGAGAATAGGCAAAGTGAAAAAAACAAGGTGTGTACATGAGATAAAGAAAATGGACAGAAATCTGGCATCCCCAAAGGCCACTGGTACAAAGAATCTTGAAAATCTTTTAAGTGACTGGGCCTTTCACACCATCTGTGGATGAAGGTATATAGCCAAACATAAGGTTTTGTTATTAGATCTTGTACCAGCCTACAGTCTGAGACAAAAAAAATTAATTTTTAGGATAGCCTGTACTTGCTACATTCTCTCAGCATTTCTATATTCAAAAGTGTGCAGGAGCATCCTCCTCTGCTCAAGAGGAGCAAAGAGATAGTCAAGCTCCAGCCCACACAAAATTGCCACTAAGTAGTTGAATTCCTTCCTTTTTCAGTATGATAAGCTCTAGTTTCAGGCAACTTACTGGGAAATCAGGAGAAATTGTCATCACTAATTCTCTATTCATAACACAACAGGCAGGAGTTAGCTTGCATCCTGGGAACAGAACTCCCTTTATAAAATGCACAGTCATCCCCTACTGAAAGAAGAAAGAGACACCCATTAAAAATAGCTGTGAGGGTTGTTACATGGAATTGTCACTGCTGTGTAATGAAAACTTCATAAATTTACAAATGTGAACGAATGTGTGAATGTTCTTGACAGAATCCTGCTCGTCTCACTCAAAATGATGCTTTCAGAAGCAGGTGGTAGTTGGAACATTAGTGGGCCTAGGAAGTGTGGTACAAGAATGGCACACATTCTGCAGGACTTAGAATTATTTGATGTTGGAAATGTTTAAGACAGCAGCTACTTCTTAGCATACTGTCCTCCTCTGTTGTCAGGGAATATTTCAATTTACATTCCTGAGAATCACAGCAGACAAAACCACAGAAATACAGCAAGCCCAAACCATTTGGTCCTGTATTTGTATATAGGAAAGAACACATCATCAGGGTTTTTTTGCCTGTTTGACTAAAAGAATAACTACTTATCCAGAAAATTCATTATATCCCCAGAGGTCTTACTTTGCTGCAGCTGATTACTTTGTTTTCTGAACAGGAAATGAAGCCAATAAGAGGTTGGGAAACCATTTATGTTTGCACTGGTTTTGAAAGATTTGGTTTAGCAGAGCAGTCCTGGAGTTTGATGCTGTCATTAGCTTTCCAAGCGCCACAGAGGACCATGTTGGGGATGTACACAACGACAAGACTTGAAGGCAGACTACTATTTAGGTTGTAGAGAATGTCCAGACCTGTGACAGAGGATGTTGTGCTAGTGCATATTTTGTAACATATGCATAAGCCATGTGTTTGCACATAGATCACTAAATCTTGATCAACTTGATTTCTTGGTGTTTTCAGTACAATTAGGAGTTGCCTCACAGTGGGAAAATAATTAAATATTCTAATCAGCCTCCTGCAGGAAGAAAATAAAAAAATTTGATATGAAATTACAACATTCCAATGTTTGTTCAGCAGATGTGTCATCAAAAAATAGTGTTGAAAGGCAATCACCATAATTTTCAAAATGTATTTCCTCCAGAGAGCCGGCATGTAGTAAATGAACATTGTGTAATATGGCAAACAAACCATACAGTATGCAAGCAGTGTCCTACAAACTGGGGGTGTCATGTATTACAAACAAAAAGGTGATGCCAGTGTCTCAGCGATAAGGCACCAAACTCAACAACTTTGGCTTTGATGAAAGTATGGCATTACCAGTACACCAACCCTAATGAAATGAGAGGACCAGTGGAACTGCATGGGAGTGGAGGTCAAATGATAGCACTGCAGGGGTGGATAATAAAAGTTTGCATTACATATATGCACAAAGATCTGTTTTGCTCCCTAGGGATCTCACTGCTTTTGCCTGAATTCCAAGACTGGCAGCTGGCCAACACAGCTGTGCAAATGTGAGGGCAGATAATGGAGGAAACAAGCTATCCTGGTTACTTTTACAAGATAAAATGTGCTTGAGACTCTGCATATGTGGGTGGGAAGAAGTAAGGTACCCCAGGTTACTGTGACCAGATACAATGTGCCTGGGACTGTACGTACTTGGATGGGGAAGATGAACTACCCTGGGTTACCATAGCAAAGGCTTGTCAAGCCCTGCACCACACTTGTCTTTAGTTCTTTTCTTCCTTCAGAAGCCTATTAACTGTGTTCTGAGTAAAGAAGGTCAGTCCTGCTCCATACAGGTGGCACAGCCAGAGAGAGAAAATCCTTTCATGAGCTCCCAGCACAGGAGGCAAGCTGTATGGCACACTGTCAAGTATCTTGCTTAGAAACTATAGCAGGGCTTTTGCCTTCTTGAGGTGTGACACCAGGACAGCCACAATGGATATTCTGCTATAAAGCTGCTGCTGCTGCCTTCACTTGGACAGGTTCTGTGTCTGTACAGAAGCAGGGATGTGTTCATCTCTAATCAGAGGAAAAACAAACCCTGCAAACCATGCTACAAGGCCGGCAATTTTCAGAAGAAGTTAATAATGAGCCTACCATGTTTGATCATATTCGAAGTTTCATCTTTTTGAGTCACACTGCTTTTCTGACTTTCTAATGGATCCCAGCTTTACAACAACCAAGAAAAAGTTTTGTGAGCTTTTAACACTATGAAAAGAAGGCAATACTCAGTTTTGCCATATGAGGTCTGCCTTCTGATGTACCAAGGACATAGGTAGGTACTGGTTACTCTTGTAGAGAACCACTGTATTTTGTTTTTGTCAATGTCTTTTAAACTTAAGAAGTTGAAAGAAGACAGTATACCCCACAGTACAATAACTAAGACCAATCTCAAACCTGCATGTTTCTGAAGAGCCAAACAACAAGAAGGAAAACAGATGAAATTTGAGGGATGAAGGATATGTCAGTACTATGCAGAATAAAGAATGGATATTCTAGAATATGCTGATGAGATTATTAAATTCTTTAGCATTACTTAAAAGAGTCTCATCCCTTTTAGAGTTATTACTGACCATTTTTTTCTGTCCTGACACACAGGAAAAATCTGCTATGCCAAGGGGACAAACAAGCTTTATACACTACACCAAGTTTCCTGACAGTGTGATACCCACAAAGCTTGCATGAAAGTAATCATACAAGTCAATAAGCACAGTCTGTACTGAGACAGATCACTTCTTTTTTTTTTTTTTTTTTTTTTTTTTTTTTTTTTTTTTTCCTTTGTTTAGGCTTTTATATAGAGATAAAAATAGGTTCTCTCAATTTAGTCTTTGCATCCTCTTTTTCCAGTATCACTGATATTTTTGAACCAGGAATAATATCACAAATTATGCTTTAATACATCAGCAACTCTTAAAAGCATATAGCAAAAAAAAAAAAAAAAGGGAAAGATGACCATCTGAAGTAAAAATATCTTGAAAAATAAATACCAAATGTACAAGAAATACTTGTTAACATGAGGAACATTGAGTATATTTTTAATTTGCTGTAACAGAATAATAACCAATTTTAGCAAATTGCCTGCAGTTTTAGAACATACATAAATGCTCCATAATCAGGGACCTCAACAATAGCTCTCATCTGCCACCCAGTGTACATTTGCCTTTTTCCCATCTTACAAGAACACACAATATGAAGCCCGAATATGACTATTTAACAAGACATTCTCTACATTATTGTATTCTGGTTTAATGTAATCAGCAATTTAGACTGCTATTAGAAACAAGAAAATTAGGGTGAAGAAACTAAAGCATCATGACTGATCCTAACAAATTATGCAATGAGTGTAATCAGAAAATAATTTTTTTCCTACTCAAATGTGTACCCACAATATACAAGAAATGATAGAATAGAAAGAAATACCAGTGGAGGAGGTCCTTAAATTTATGAAGGAGAGAAATCTAGGGGGCATGACATAAAACTAACACTAATATCCCTTACAGTATCAAATCAATTAGTATACAGAAAAAATATTTACTTGCCTTTTATCCAAAGACACAAGATGAGTTAATCAAAACTTTATTACATGAAGTGGGAGATGAAAAACAAACTTTAGTAGAATGGCTGAATAATAGAATAGATTTACTGTTTACACCTGGGACAGTAATCAAAAGCTACCCTAACAGAAAGGAATGGAGGAAGAACAGCAAAGGATCAGAAAAGCGGGCAAATAATAGATGAGAAAGGAGAGAGATGCAGAGCTACTTTCTACTTTGGTTCCTTGAGTATTTGTTCTAATATTATTATCATTATTATTAGAATAGAAACACACATAAAAGTAATATCAGGACAGTCAGTCTGTGATTGAAGCCTGATGGATTTACAATCCATCAGGACAATGGGACAGTCAGTGGCTTGACCTTCTTTTGGTTTACAGGAATGGCTTGCTCCAGAAGGACAAAAACCTGAAACTCAGCTAAGACAAAGCAATTTCAAGTGAATTAAAACTAAGGGATGAAAATATTTTAACCAAACACGTGCTTCTGTAGGTATGACTGACTGTCAAAAGTTTACTAGCAATGGCAAAACAGAATGCAGGCAGGCCATTATTATATTTTTCTTCCTCTCCCCCATCCCCCTACAAGTAATAGATCTTGGCTTTTAAAAGACTGCCTAATCATTAAATGTGACATGACTCGTCACAGACTTCAAAATGCAAAATTACTGATAGAAAAATAAAAAGCACAGTGTCAGGTTAGCCTAGTGTGTCACACTAGGTGTCAGAACACAGCCTGCCCTAAGAATGGAAAAATCATTTTGAGGGGATTTGAGGGGAGCTTGCTTATAAAGGCTGACATTCAAACGGCGCAAATAAGGACAACATCAAAACGGACCAACATGTACCAGGTCATGTACCCTGGAAAGAGAAGTCAGATAAACAGACTCACTATGTGAATAAATGGACCTACTTTTTCAATTTTAATTATCACTTGTTCAAATGTCTTAAAAATCATACTTACTTTCTACATTTTGCTTTCTGCAGCAGGATCTAAGGCACTTTCAAACACCTTTGGGAAAACAGTATGAAGTAAATAAATTCATTATAATGCTAATTAAACAAACCAGCATTCACAAGAACACTTTAATACCTATTCAAAATAATTCCTGTATTTTTTGCCAAGCTGTCACTGAGCAATTATCTTAGCTAATATTATGTATTACTGTGTACTTTAGGATGTGATTTACATTTTAAAAGTTATGCAGTATTTTGGAAAAAAACAAAGCTGAAATTTCATATTCATTCATTTCAGCATCAACTTCAGAATGGCCTGTACTTTGTAACAAAAAAATATCAGGTTTACAATACCCTAAGTGCAATTCTTTGAACTGTAAACCAGCAGAACCACAAATACAATTAGGAAACATATGTTTGGAAAACGCTTGAATTCCTGACCAATCCTACAGGACACATCCCAAAATAAAAGATTAAAAGCTGCAACTCTAAACACCTTAAAGGACACTAATTTTGCACAGACATTATGGGCAAACGAGAAAATGTAAGGAACTTTTCCTTTATGTTTCTATCTATTATGTAAAGCTTGTCTGAATATCTTCCAAAAACAAGATCAGTTAAGATATCACCTGTGAAATGCCATTTAAGAAAAAATCCAAATGCATTTGTCTGCCTTTAGGTCTTGTCTATATTACTGCAATGAATTATGTCTTATTCAAATACCCTTTGCACACCTTGGCATGAAATTCTTACTCCTTTGAAGTAAATGGGAACTTTCTCAGTGATTATATTTGGGCATTAATGTCGGACATTCCACCTATTTAGAGAAGCTGCATTCAGCTGCATTCCTCTCGTTTTATTACTATTTGCTACTCTTTTTTCTATTTTCTTTTTTTTAAATGCCATTCTTCAAATGACAACAGTATTCCCAGACAATATTTTAGCAATAGTCTTTATTAAAGACCGCTGACCTAAGCCATGTTTTCTCCAAGAAAATGTACTGTTTCACTGTTCATCAACACCTACTAATGAAGGTCACAGGCACAAAAAAAACCCTAATGTGTGGAAAGACAAAAGATTAACTCATCCAACAAGACCTACTTCATGTGAATTACTTTATTCTTAGTGTAAGTAAAGATATGAGAAACTACTGTTCTGTGGAAGTGGGTTATATTATCCACTTCTGGCCGTAACATGGCTGTGGGGTTTTATTGCACAGAGATCATGTGCATAGTAGAATCATGTGTTCAGAGCTGCATTTGCCTTGAGATGGGGAAAAGGTCTTAATGAAAATTGTACTTTAGCTTCCATGTGTAGTTTTCCACTTGTGTCAAGGACAACCACGGGGGAAAGGAAAAGTAATCATGGTATTCAAAGAAAGGCCTCTTGAGAGCCAGAGGTAAACAATTTTAGAGAAACACACAGGTACTGAGAGCAATTTGAAAAACAAACAAGAAGACTTTGGATCAAATAGATAAGAAATATACTGTTGTCTAAACTTCTTGCATTCCTGTTTTGCAATGGCTTCAGCGTAGGCTTGCTCATCAGTAGACACAGCCATTCTGTCTTACACCATTTTTTAAAAAACAATCTTCAAACACAACATACATTAACATACAGTAAGGTACAGGAAAAAGACTCCTCTTATCATCAATTCCAGGAGTTTGAGTGGTGTGTAAAAGGATGCCAAAACCATTGGTCTATCATTTATTCAGATCTTCATTAACATCATATGTCTTCTATACAGGCCATATGTATGTATATAGCAGTATGATAGCCATACTACTATTAGCTATATTGATCCTAGTTCAATCATCTCTGAATCAGAATAACTTCAATTACCCTCATTTAGGCTGTTGCTGTTACTGAGATTAGGTAAGAACTGATCATGTGGGAGATGAACTCTCATTACCACTTACGTCAAAGTTCCAGATCATAAAATCTTAAAGAAATGTGAAGGTCTGTTTGAGGAATGGGCCTAATAATGCATCTTACTACATTGAGATACATGTGAAACAAGAATAGCTTATCACTTGTAAAGATAAATAAGATTATGCCTGAATTACATCTTGTACAAGACTTGATACAAGACTTGATCAGTTTCTAGGCATGCAACAAACCAAAGTCACCTTTTCAAAGCACACCTTATGAGATAAGAGAGGAGAAACAGGATGAAGACATTCATTCTGCCTTTTTGTGTTGACCCAAGATGCACAAACTGAGAAAGACGTCGGTTCCTCAGCCAAAAACACACCAGGAAATGTAACGTTATGAAAGAAAATGATACTTTCACATGAGACTCCTTGGTCCAGTCTTAGGCATGTGCATCAGTGCAAGTGTGCCAGACCCTTGTCTCAGAAAGGACTCACTGGCCCTTGGCTGTATTACTGATAACCTCAAAAGGGTGCCAGGTTAAGAGCTATCATTGGGAGTTTTCTCATTTTGTATTTTTGGCTTTTATCGTCCCATGTAACAGGGACTAAATTTCATAGGCCTTAGCATTAAATAGAAACATTTGATTACAAGAAAATGATTGAGGGAAAACCATAATTTTTTTCCTTCTATCTGATGAGAACAGTTGTGAGCAACATGGTCATATTATCCCTTTGGCCACAGCAGTAATCCCTTTGTTAAATAAACAACAGACAGCAACAGGTCCCCTACCTTCACATTTAACCTAAAGTTTTCCTGGCATGTTTTTCTAGCAGACTTTACACCTGCAACCCCCCAAAGAGTCAGTCAGCGCCTCCTGTTTGGAGAAAGAGCAAAATAGTCAATCCATGGGTAAAAAAGTGGAGCTACAACATTTTAATCTCTATTGGGGTGCTATCACAAAGGTATGGCCTTATTTTATGCTAATTTCTATTCCCAGATGAGAGGCAAGCTATTAAAACAGCCTAGACAGCACCCCAGGAATGGCAGAGTCAGGGGAAGTGGTGCGAGCAGGGGCACATACACGGACACGGGCAGCGACAGGGACAGGGACATGGACATGGACAGGGACAGGGACAGGGGCACGGGCAGGGACACGGACAGGGACACGGGCAGGGACAGGGACACGGGCAGGGACAGGGGCAGGGACAGGGACACCGGCAGGGACAGGGACAGGGGCAGGGACAGGGACACGGGCAGGGACAGGGACAGGGACACCGGCACGGGCAGGGACAGGGACAGGGGCAGGGGCAGGGACAAGGGCAGGGACAGGGACAGGGACACGGGCAGGGGCAGGGACAGGAGCAGGGGAGGAGGCGGGGCAGAGGCGGAG